CGTTGTAGATGGTGGGGGAAACCACCATCGCAACCTGCCCTCCCCGGGCAATGCACGGTGGGTGGTCAGTCTGGTCGAAAGTGAGAGCGACCTCCGACCACCGCGCCCGACGCATCGCCTCATGGGTAGGGGCCATGGCCAGAAGCTCTCGCTTCATAGCCTTGAAGCTCCGGCGAGAGACGTGAGCACATGCTCCTCCATCGACGGTGGCAATGGTGGCCCCAGGTTCTTGGAAACCTAGGTCATCATCACCATCATCAATGTCAACAGCGGGGGCCTTCTGCTTGGCCTCACTTCGCCGTTTGCCGGAAGGAACCGCCGGGGACTTGCCCTCACGGCGTTCCTGCCTCCTGTCCTCCTCCCATTTCCTCGTTCGCTCGGCCAAGTTTTTGACCGCACGACAGTCCGCGAGATCGTGGAGGGAGGTGTTGTGGACAGAGCACCACCTGCCGGCGAGGCGCTCCCTGCTGGGTGTACCAGCCTCATTCTTTTTGTCGCTCGCAGGCCTCCCCTTTCGAGTGGCCCGTGGAGCGCCCTCGACGGCGAGGACATGACCCTCGTCGCCGGAACGGTCCGGCCTCTTCTTCCTCCTCCTGTCACGCCGCCCTGTCTGAGCGGCGGATCCGGGGGCGGCCGAAGCTACCACTCCGGAACCGGAGGAGTTCCAGGTCCAGGCCTCCTCCTTACGAGCCACTCGGTCTGCGAGCTGAAAAAGCTCTGCGGTAGTCTGGGGCTCTTTGGAGGCAATCTTTTCGAGCATGCGGTTGTGCCGCACACCCCCCCTGAACGCGTAGATCACCGCGTGTGCAGGGATGCATGGTATAGTATTGCGGACTTGGCAAAACCGCTGAATGTACGAGCGAAGCGACTCATCATCGCCTCGCTGTACTGCATGCAAGTCCGCTTCTTCACCTGGGCGCGGATATGTGCCTTGAAAGTTCATGGTGAACTGTTGGCACAAATCTTCCCAGGAGTGGACCGACGCGGGTGGCAGGTTCATTAGCCAACCCCGCGCCTGTCCTTTTAGGGCCATGGGAAAGAAGTTCGCCATGACCCTGTCGTCACCCCCAGCGGCCTCAATCCCGGTCGTATAGACCTGGAGAAACTCGGTGGGGTTGACGCTCCCATCGTACTTCTCGGTGATGGTGGGCCGGAACCTTGGGGGCCAACGGACATTACGAAGACTCGCCACAAAGGCTCTACAGCCAACACCACCGGCCGGGGGCACGGAGGGCTGATCTTCACGTCCGTGTCGAGGAGACACTCTGGACGAGGAGGCGCCCTCCGTTGCACGGGGAGTACGCCGGCTATTACGCCGGCGCCCGATGTTGAGGCGGGCATCCGGCTCCCCATGCTGATCCTCCCGAGTCGACGGTGTAGACGAGGGAGTGGCAGCCGAATGACGTGCAGCCGCCGCCGCTCGCCGCGCCCTCCGCCTTGATGACACGGAGCCGGTGGTAGCGGCGCCGGAGGTCCTGGTGGTGGCGGACCGTCCACCCGCACCCAGGCGCTGCTGTGCCGTCATGACCAAGTTGGCCACGTCTTCCAGCCATCGTTGGGCTGGAGACTCCGGGTCATGGACGACAGGCGGGTGTCGTAGGAGCGCGCCAGCAGCCTGAAGCGCACCCTGAGGTGTGCTGCCGTCGCCGTAGACGAGGAGGCGACGCTCCCCATCTCGCCGTTCTCCTGCATCACCTGCGACTGGTGATGCCACGGATTTGTCGACCCTCTCAAGCGCCTCCCCCTGCTTAGGGCTTTGGCGCGGAGGAGGTGGGGGAGTACGAGCTCGACGGCGCGGATTCGGCTCCCCGTCGTCGCCGCTCACACTCGGAGAGAGGTCGTGCGCTTTTCCTTGCTCGGCCATTGGGCTGAACAAGAAAAACTTGGTGCACACGGAAGAGTCTGAGAGCTCAGAAAACACACGCTGAGCCCCCTACCTGGCGCGCCAGATGACGGAGCTCGTGGCTCCTCACCGGGAGACCGCGCAGGCCCCCCTTTGCCAGTTCGGCCGGGGGCTTAGGGTGAAATCTCAAGCTCTCTCTCTCTCTCTGTATGTGGAAAGATCGTCCGTCAGCAAGAAACACGAGACACCGGCGATCTATACAGGTTCGGGCCGCTGAGAAGCGTAATACCCTACTCCTGTGTTTTGGTGGATCTGTGTATGAATGAGCTACAAGTGTGAGCTGACTTCTCCCCCGTTCTAAGCTCTCAATCTGGAAAAGAATCAACCAACCCCCTCTCTATGGGCAAGGTCCTCCTTTTATACTTCAAGGGGATACCACATGCACCCTTCTCTTTCCAAACTGGACTGTTCTTTTTCTCTTGAATGGGCGGAGATCAGCACGGTTGCTGTCCGAATGACGCTCCGATGGGACAGCCCACACCTACCTCCACTTCCGCCGGGGGTGAGCGCGTCGTGGGAACATGGCTGTGCGCTGACGATATGATCAGTGTCAGACCGGTCACAAATCGGTCATTCTTGTCCACCGCGTGTAATCTTGGCAACGTGCATGTTTGCCCTTCTTCACACAACATCTTGCTTGTAATGGTTAGGATGAAGCCTGGCATATATCGATCGGGGCTAGCGTGTCATCTCTGGGATGTAACACGCTAGCTCCAGCCGGGGACGAGTGCCTAGAAGCTCTCGTCTTGACAGGATGGGGCGAAGCGTGCGTCTGACCGCCTGTCGCCACCTAACCCGTGATCTGACCGGTCTGTGACTGGTCACAGACCGGATAAAGGAACGCGCCGTACTGCGCTGCATGCAGCGTGACACGCCTGACCAGACTGCATTAAATGCTGTTAGGTGAGCACAGCTGTGCTCACTTATCCCATATATGTGGCGCAGACTTCCTAAAGGGGGTCGGGGTGCCCCGGCCCTCGGGGCCGGGGCAAGCGCAACCCGACCCCCCCTCGGGGGGAATCAGGAGGAGGGCGGACACCTCACCCTCGGGCCCGACGTCCCCGAAGGTGCCAGGCCCCGTGGGCGATTGTGTCTGCCTCAAGCCTCTAGTCATGATATTCCCGGTCCCATATCACCGACAATGATATATTACTAATTATGTAGGTCTGTGGCTGCCAGAGCGAAGCCACATTGCACTACGGAAGCGCGATATTTTTTTCCCCTAAAAACATTACGCTTCCGTAGTGCATGGGACACAGCCACACAGGTCCATAAAATTTTCACCAAAGCATGTTTTTTCATGGCACACGTAATTGGAGTATTAAGTGTGTGATATTAAATGGGACACAGGGTAATTCCTATTCTAGTTTTGCCCCTACGTATGTTACTACTCCTGGTTGAAGAAAAAGGGTATAGCCGGGAAACTATTTTAACAGCTCGAGTGGACGTCTACCCGTTTATTGCATGTCATGCAAGTAGTTATGAAAAAAAATAAAAAAAATATGAATAAGATAGATCAATATTAATATATCAATCCCCAAACATGCAAGTTAAAATTCAACTTCTACAAATTGTAACAAAAATAACAAACAAAACTGAAATTACTATATGAATATTTATAATTAAATTTGTTATTTTTATTACAACTTATAGAAGTTGAATTTGAACTTGTATGTTTGTGGAGATACATATTGATCGATCTTGTCAATTTTTTTTAAAATTTTTTGTAACCATCTAATTGACATACAATAAACGGATGGATAAACGGGTGGATGTGCACTCGAGTTATTAGAATTCATCTCCGTACAGAACACCGCGGAAAAGGTGACAAGAAAGAATGAAAGAACCGTTGGAGATAAAGAGTCAAAGATGGTCACTTGGCAGTAGTGGTCAAATATTTTTTCCATGTTAAGCGGTAAACGTGTAGTTAACAAACCCAAACATAACCAGTAGTCAGTGCGGGTAATCAAAGTGATCATACAGACCACTTCAAAATAAAAAAAAAGTGATCATACAGACGGACACCTGCAGTGCGCAGAGGATTCACGCGAGTATGTGCAACTAACCTGTGTATAGTAAAAGAACGGATGTAATCTCTCCGTATTATAATGTATAATACTGTTGACTTTTCAACCACCGTTTAACCATTCGATTTATTCAAATTTTTTATGTAAATATGAAAATATTTATGTTATGCTTAAAGAACATTTGATGACGAATCAAGTCATAATAAAATAAATAATAATTTTATAAATATTTTAAATAAGACGAATGGTCAAACGTTAGACGAAAAGTTAACGGCGTTATACATTAAAATATGGAGGTAGGACTTATTCAGTTGCATGTGGGGACCTCGCACACACCGAAATGCACGGGAAAAATCAATCCATTCCCAAGGCAGGATCAGCGGCATTCAGTCACATGGCTCACGCAAAAGGACGAATCGGAGACCAGATCGGAAGCTTCTGAATTCCCACTTCATTAATAAAACTTCGTCACACGCAGACGCAGGTGAACCCAGCTTGAAGCTACTCCCAGCTCCACGATCCTCCACCCCAATGATGAACTCACGTTGCCCACTCCCTCCCCTGGACGCGTCGCGCTGCCGCGCGGAATAGAGAATACTCCTACCGCAACTTGGCCCGGACAGGCACGCACACGCACATGTAACGGCCCGCACCAGCCGCGTCGGTGCTCCCTCCCGGACGCATCCACCGCCCGCGCGCGCACCAAACCGAGCTCCGATCGGTCGGTTTGCCCGCCCATAATGCAGCACGACTATAGTAGTCGTCGTAATAGATAGTAGTCGTCGTAGTAGATAGCCTCATAGCTCGCGCATGTGGCCCACCGATTTAGGCGCCGCCACATGGTCGTCGCTTTCGAGCCACGCTGGAACGTGCCGTGCGTGGTGGTGGTGCCGGCCTCAGGAAGCCACACACTGTCCCGGCCCAGCTACTCCTCCCCTCGATGGCCACTGCCACCAGCACTACAATTATGCATATCCCTTTTGGGTTCTACTGCTTACTGGCCGCTGTTTTTTTGTAACGAACCCCCAACTAATATTCCTCCAAATAATGCGTACTATGACTCTAGGAGATATACTTGGTGAGTTGTGGGCGCATCATAAGAGGGGCAGCAGGCTGCACGCCCGGCCATACCGTAGGGCACTTCTCTTCTTGTTACCTTAGCTAGGTAGGCAGACCGGCTTTCTCGTAACATAACGTAGCGTGCTAGGCTAGCTACCCGAGTCGATCACCGGCGACATGATGCGGCGTCCGGCGCCGGTGCTCGTGCTGGCGATCCTTGCCGTCGCGGCGTCGACGGCGGCGGCCGCGGCGATCGAGGGAGAGGTCAAGTGCGGTGGGTGCTCGCCGTGCGGCGGCGCTGACTGCCCGGTGCTGTACCCGTCGCCGCCCCCGCCGGCGCTCCCCCCACCACCGCCGTACTACTACTACAGCCCTCCGCCTCCGGCGTATTACCCCGGGTCATACTGCCCGCCGCCGCCAGCGGCGTACGTCCAGTTCGGCGGGGGCGCGCAGTCCGGCAGAGGGCCTCTGTACCCGCAGGACCCCGGGTTCATGCCGTCGAGCGCACCGTCGTCGCACGGGAGCCGCGCCGTACGTCTGTTCACGGCGTGTGCTGCGTTCGCGAGCCTATGGTTCCTATGGTAATCGATCGGCAGCAATTGCAAGGTGGCGGACATCTCCGGTACGTCGCGACGGAGTCACGCCGGCGTTCCAGGGATCTGCACTCTCTAGTACTCTGGTCATATGATCCGTATAGTTCTTCTGCCAATATATCAAGTTTTTTTTTCCTTTTTGCTTTGTTTCTCTTTACTCTCTCCTGTGTTTAGATCATTCACAGTCACTTGTAAGAAATTAATTGCAAAGCAGAATGTACTGTAGCAGTTCATTTCATATTGTCAAGTCAATGTCACGAGCTCGTGATGGGTATGGAATTGTGTTCGTCCGTCGGTGATCTAGTTCCTGATTTCTTTTTTTTTTGAGGAATGAGGACACAAGTTGGTTCTGTTCTTCGATATACCACAGGAGAGCTTGGTTGTCACTATGACTAAGAGTATATTTCTGGACGGTTTTTTTTTCAATATTTTAAAAAGGACGTCCATGTGACTCACCAATAAATACATGAATATATAGATATTCTACTGTAGTTTGTTTACATTTGTTTTTTTCGGGTGGGTGGGGGATTATGTGTTGGGTACAACAAGAGACCGCATTATATACCATGCATCCTTTTGTGGAAAAACTGGCTGCTACTCATTGTACTTGATAAATGTAAGAATAATACACACTTCAAAATAATACGGCAATATCAATTCCCACTCATTACCTAAGGTTCAAGATATAGTTTAATTATAATCATTTTTATTATCATTGTCCGGACTTTATTATTTCACTATTACTAAAAGAACTTCTTAATATCATTTTTCTATCTCTTGTTCTATATCAGTTGCACGCATATAGAGATATACTTTTCACTGAAAACTAAATATATATTGTAAATCTCCCATATTGTAATGTACGATATTTGGTCGAAATTAAATACAGGTATAGGAAACTTATATATGTACAATATTAAAATACAAAGGTACGAAATAGAAAATATTTGTGGGTCAAGGCGGCGGACTTTGGCCTTCCCCCACCTACCCCAAAACGTCCTGCACGCACACGAACTTTTGCACACTCTGTGGTTAGGTTAGGATATGCAGTGTAGACCGATTGAGTATATATTGGAGCACAATAATAACTAAATGTATATATGCTCGGAATGGATTTAAGAGAATTATATTTTATATTTAAATCCAAATTTACTTTGAAACAATTATAGTCTAGATCCATGCAATTGCACCATAAATACAGCTTTGATTAGTTATCAAATATACGCAATAATGTAGTGTCCATTAACTGAATAGTTAATTTGGACGGTTATGGCAAATATAACCCAAGTGTGCGATGCGCATGAGCTAAATTTACACTTTTTAATGGGAGCCATTTTTACCGATGGGAACCAACCCTGTGATCTGTGATGGATATAGTGGATTGTGCACAGTACGTAGGTGTATTAATCGTGTGCACCATTCAATCCACAGTACAATATCCGGGACGCGACTACGTCGGTTGTCCGAAGGGGAGATGGGGAAATCGGGCGCTAACGTCAGCGTCCGATTTACGTGCAAAACTATTTTAAATTGATTTTTTCTTTTAAATTATTTATCCAAATCATAATCCGATTGTACCATTAAATTTGTTGCAACTAAATCTTCAAAACAAGACCCCACATGGATATATTCCGACGAAAATTTTTTTAGCTTATTATTGATTTTTTTTAAAATGTTGCACGATGTTCCACCAAATATATCGAAATTGTTTCAGTAAGTAGATAGAAAATGTTTCAATCGTTTAAATCGGGCGTTGTTTCATCTTATATAAAAATAATGTTTCAGCAAATAGCGAAATAATGTTTCAGTTCACTACAACATTAGATCTATACATAGTGAAACATTGTGAGTACATTAGGTGAAACATTTTTGGTGGAACAAAAAATAAACCAAATTCCCTTAATAGAGGGTTTCCAAAATATGTGGGTGATTTGTTGCAATGGAGTATTTCAGTTCACTGCAACATTAGATCTATACATAGTGAAACATTATGAATGCACTAGATGAAACATTTTTTGTGGAACAAAAAAATAAACCAAATTCCCTTAATAAAGGGTTTCCAAAATATGTGGGTGATTTGTTGCAACGGCGTGTTCCATAATATCAAAATTCACTGCAACATTTGATCCGTATATAGTGAAACATCATGAGTACACTAGCTGAAACATTGTAAAACTACTGGTTTAAACATCAAAACAAACCATATGCAACATTAAAAAAATTAATAAAAAACTAAAATATTTTTTTGTCGAAATATAATCATGTGTGGTCTTGTTGTAAAGATTTAATTATAACGAATTTAGTGGTGCAATCAGATCGTATATTAGATAAATAGTTTAAGGGAAAAGATTCTCTCCATGCATGCAGTGGCACGCAGACAGTCCGATTTTCCTCTCCTCCCATCGGACGCGCGACAGACAACATTTTCGACAATATCCGACGTAAATAGTTTAAGGTGTGTTTGGATGGAGGGATATGGATGGATAGGACATGGCGGCCCATTTTCTGTGGGTGTTTGGTTGCTGGGTAGGGGTGGGATAGGGCCGGCTAGGGAGGAATATTCCCCCAGATGCTGGATGGGGGGATCCGGCCGATTTGCTCGGATCCAGCCGCCCGAGCGCCCGGACGAGCTGGGCGAGCGAGTGCGTCACCCCGGGCGAGCGAGGGAGGGAGGCGATCGCCCGGGCGAGCTGGTCGGCGCGGGATGCAGGTCGGCGGCCGGTGCCGGCGCGTCAACGGGAAGAGGGACGATGGCGACGGGAGGTGGCGACGAGCTTGGAGACGCTGGCGGAGACAATGGCGACGACGACGATGCGAACCTGACGATGACGACGACGACGGTGCGGGTGGCGATAGCCGCGTCGGCGGGAGGCGGCAGCGGAGCCTATAGCCGGCGGGAGGCGGCCGCCGGCGGGAAGAGGCGGCGGTGGCAGTGAGCCCTAGATCTATTGCTTTTTTCTTTTTTCTTTTTTTCTTTTTATATGTGTGTTTATAATATGGAGGGGTAGTGGTGTAAAATTGCTACAGAATTTATAAAATGCATTATGCATTAATTTGATTAGGGGGGGTATATTCACCATCTCAAGTAAGAGGTGACCACACCTACAAATCCATCATACTCCCTTCAACCAAACAAAAAATTAGATCACCAAATCCACCTTCATCCCTACATCAAACAAAAAACTGGATCGCCATATTCATTCTACCAAAAAAACTGGATTGCCATATGAAAAAAAAATGTACCGCTGTATCCCATCCAACCTTAACCGTGAACCAAACAAACCCTTACTACCGTAGCATGGATGCTTGATGCTTCTTTGATTTTGGCAACTAGTAGTCGGTAGTCTGTTCTTATTCCTAGCAAATTCCATCTGTGACCTCATCTTCATTAGTTTGGTAGTCCATGATCCCAACCCGTTCCCGTCGATGGGCCCAAAATCTAGTTCAAAATTGTGGCCCACTAACGTGGAGTGGACCGGAAAACATGGGCTAACTAAACAAGGTATATAGCGTGGCCTTTTGCCCTTGCATATTGGCTCATTTCAGAACATTGAAACTTTAAGGCAACTTATTATTGGCCTTGTTCAAAGGCAAGGCTCGAAGCCGCAAAACTCATCGGTGAAAGGTTATGAAATAAGTCTATTTTGCTTCCCTTGTTTCTTACTCTAGTCAAATTGCATCTATCAACCACAAAAGCGGGTATGACGCCCTCCCTCCCCCACTTCGGAAAGCGGTGCAAATATACTCCTTCGGTGGCTTAGGAAGTGGTTTTTGCCGATTCAGCATGTGGCCCCCTAATGTTAGTGAAATGTGGCAAACACATGTGGTGGGCACCATATGTTAGTTACATCACTTTTCTCCTTCCCCATTTCTCTCCTCTCTTCCCCTCTTTCCTCGCATGCAGCAGTGGAAAGAAGTTTGATGACATGATCGAGAAGGAGCTGTCAAGACGATCCGTAAAGTGCAGCGACGCAGATGGCGTTGCGATTGGCGAAGAAGATAGCATTGTGATTAGCAGCGAAGATCGCTCGCCCGTCCACCATCATCCCTGGCGAGCCTTCCCCAGCAACGTCATCATCATCACCGCGGCGTGGCCATGCATCATGACGGCAGTGGCGCTTGGCAACAAGGCTAGTGGCAATGAGCTCCTCGTCGTGATGTTGCAGGGGATCGGCGATTGCCTAAAGTAGGCGATCAATAGAGCTACCAGCCTGATGGCATGCCTGATGCCACTAGCACCTCTGCAACAGCATGTTACCAACGCCCAGATTTGGCCTCCTCTACAAAATCGCCACTCTACCCGGGCGCACGTCTTCATCGTGTTCTGACACCTAGCCTCGTAGATCTGGGCCCTGCCACCCCTCCAATCTCTGGTCAGGGGATGTTTCCACCACACCGCAAGGCCACGATTGCTGACAAGACTCCAACGCACCATCCAACACAGCCACTGCCTCACCTCCACCACCACACCGCCTCAACTTCATTTGATGACCGTCGTCGATACCTCCTCTCCGCCAGTTTCCTTGCTTGTGCGTCAGACCTGTCGTCCATGTCCCATCCTCCACCTTTGTCGCACCCTCTAGCCGAAGATTGTGGAGACAAGCACCCATCGCCAGCATCCTCTCCAACCTTTGCTCCTTACGACTAGGGCGTTGCCGACCTCTCGCCATGCTCTACCTGGGAGAGAAAGGAGAGAGAGAGAAGAGGAGTGGAAAGAAAGAAGGGATGACACATGGGTCCCACTACAAATTTATTAGTTTTTTCTGCTAAGAGACTCGCCGACTAAGCGAATAAACCGTGGTCAACCTGTCATATCAGCAAAAAAAAAGCTTCTCAATCCACTGAATGAGTTAATTTACATATTTTTGAAAGATGGGGGAGGTGTTATACTTATACCTGGTTTGGTGATTGAGGGAGGTGATTCAATCATGAGCAAGAGATGTAGGAGGCAAAATAGACTTAATACAATGGTTAATCCCGGTCCTGGTCGAGCCTATGAAAAACGATTTTACCTTTCATTCATTTCTGTAATGAAAATAAATTAGTTTATTATTTTAACGTCATGTATGAATATAACATATTTAGTGATAATTACGCCTTTGAGCTTGTATTTAGCTATAGGCCTGAAACAAAGGTGCCGTACATGTAAACCACAATGGAGCGACTTATTAGATATGAGTAGAGAATGTTGCAATTACACTGGAGGGGAAGCAGCATTGGAGAACAGCACCAGAGCGTGGACATGGTGAGTCGAGCTGATGGGGAAGATGATTAGGCACTTGAGCAATTGGGCTGGTAGAACTGTAGAAGTAGGTTATGTGCCACTGCGAAAGAACTGCAAATCGGGCACCTGATTTTTTCTAAAAAATCGGACGTTGTTTCACCCCTCGTAAAACAATGTTTCAGCTCTTAGTAAAAGAATGTTTTGGTTCTTGAAAATAGTGAAACACAATCAGATCGCCAGATAAAACAATTTACTTCAACACATGAAACAAACGATTAAAGCCACTAAAACATCAACAAGATCCGAGTGAAATTGAAGACAAAAAAATAAAACACCATAAAAAAACCCACTGAAACACTTCGGTCGAACTAACGAAACATCCACATATAGCGACTGAAACATCGAAAAATCACCCTAAATACTAACTAGATCCACTTCATTCTCTCCGGTGGTTGGCTAGATCATCGACGACAACACAACGTCGGTGGCAGGGGCCCGAGCCATGTTGTGACGGCGGAGGCCGCGGTTGCTGCAGTGGCTGCAGGGTCAGGGCTAGGGATCCGGCTGTTGTCATCGTCGCCGCAACCACTGGCAGACTACGGCTAGGCGGGGAATGAGGTGGCGGCATTCAGTGATGTCGCCGTTGCGAAGGAGGAGCGGAAGGAGAAGTGTTGCCATACGGAGAGAGAGCTGGAGGAGAAGCGCCTCGCGTGAAGAGAAACGGTGTAGAGAGAGAAGGGAAATGGATAAGATCGAGAGAGAAGGAGAGAAAAGGACGATGAGACATGGACGACTGGGGTGCGAGCACCCGATATTCTCTTTCCTATTGGGTGTCCGAACCAGAGCATTTTCGCCAGATAGATGCTACTTGGACCAGGAAAAGAGTTCAGATGTTATTGGCATGTTTGTAATCCGATCAAATAACTGAGATCAAACGCATCATAATAAGGGCTTCGGCTCTTATTTTTGTCCAATGAAATTGTAGTTGAACCAAACGACACAAGTAGTATTTTAACTTTTTTAAGAGCGAAGAGACTTTCTAAATAAAAGATATGGGAAGGATGAAGCTATCTCTTCCTAATATCTACTTTTAGATGTATAACTCCTAATTAAGATGACGTCGTGGAAGAACAGAAAAGCAAGAAAACGTTTTTAACTTACTACCTAGAAGCTCATATATGAAGCTCATATATGATAGGATGATAGAAAATCCGTGAAGAGTACGACCCGCCAAGCATCAGCCAACGCGCTGCGCCACACATGGGACTAGTATGGAGCATTTTCCCCACATATTGGACTCTTGTATACCACTCCCTCTATTTCATCGTAAGTGCTATTGTGGTTGACCCTTCGTCTTATTAAAAATTTTATAAAAAAAATTAAAAAATAAGTTAGTCATAAAGGACTATTTATGTTTTATTATCTAATAACAACAAAAATACTAATCATATTTTTTTAAAAAAAACGGACATAACTTTTTTTAAAAAAAACGGACGGTTAAACGTTGAATACGAAAAACTACAACTGCACCTATGGTGGAACAGTGAGTACTTTCTTTTTAGAGTTTTTTTTTTTGAACAACTCTTGTATACTACTAGTATCGTCTTTTGGAGTAGATTGAGGAAGTCTGAACATATCCATAACTTGACTAGAGGATAATATATATATATATATATATATATATATATATATATATATATATATATATATATATATATCATTTGACCAATTTTTGTTCCTCAGAGAAACAACGCCGTTTTCATCATGATTGTTCTTGTTATTGTGCATATGAATCATGATTAATGTCAGTTCCCACAAATTTGCCGATGAAATGATGTAGTGGGTGTACTCCCTCCGTCCCAAAATATAAACATTTTTAGCATAGTAACAAATCAAACATTTTTAACTTTGACTATTAATAGAAAAATAAAAATGATCAATTATGTAAAATTGATGTTGCTAGATTTATTATTAAAATACTATCATAATATGCAACTTTTTTATTTAAAACATGTTACTTTTATAGATATTGTTAGTCAAAATAGTATCTCGGAGACCTGATCAGAGTTTAAAAATACTTATATTTTGAGACGAGGGAGTAACTTCTTCCAACAAGAAAACTGAAATTAATTATGGTCGACTCCGACTCGTTAACCACATGTTTTGCACAATGTCACAAGCCATTTTGGTGGACCGGATCGACCTGACTGAATCCCTAACACCCAAGCGCCAAGCCAGGCAGCTGAGTCAAACATACGCGGTCCTCACTATAACCACGTCATCTTGTTATAAAACCATATCAATTTGCAGAGTATTTAAATTTTCAGGACCCTTCTCTGTGACCAAGCCACGCAGCCTCAGTTTATTATGACAAACTCCCAAGGACTCGTTCCCGCCCGTAATGTCAACTTGGATTAATATATAGTAACTGGGTGTTACGTACGTTACGTTGCACCTATCGCTTCTCTGCAACTTGACACAATACAACACCTCACCAGACACTTGTTCTTTACCTACGCCCTCGCGCCTTCCGGGAACCGCTACTAGTTATAAACTGACGATTTATTATACGTGTCCACACGTGATGGAAGCAGCTCTCGTGGAGCGTATAAAAGGAGGGCTGGTGATCGATCAGCTCAAGTGCTCAAACCCTCTCAAGTTTCATCATCACCCAACACAATCGCAAGCAGCTAGCAACAGGGCCAACCCGACGAACGTGAGATGGCGGCAGCCGTAGAGGAGGCCTTCCCGATCGGGTTCACGAAGGGGATACGGTCCTACTGGCGAAGCCGCAAGTACCATAGCGTGGACAGCAGCGCGGCGGGCCGCGGCACGAGCAACCTGGTGCGGCTCGGGGGCGGAAGCGGCAGCGGCAGCGACGGCGGGGCGTGGGCCGTGCGGCTGGGAGGCATGTTCCGCACGCGCGTCAAGGCGGCGGCGCCCGCGGCGACGACGACCGCCGTGGCGAAGGTACCCGCGCGCGTGCTGGGGCGGGTACGGGACGCGTACGTGGACGCCATGGTCGGCGTGGCCAAGAAGCAGGCGGCCGCGGCGCTGTCGCAGCCGGGAGCCGGGACGACGGAGGCGCTGTGGCAGAAGCGCGTGCCGGTACGACGGTCGCGCGGGCAGAGCAAGAAGCAGCTGCGGCAGAAGGCGGACGAGCTCGGGCAGAGACTGGTCATGGAGATGTACAAGTCCGTCCTCGCGTCGAGGGACCTCTCCAGCATGCTCCAGGCATCAAGGGCGCAATAGCATGCAACACTACATCGTGCAAAAGTGATGCATCCGCGCAAGCTTAACGTGAACTAACGGCTGTATATAAGGAGATGTACATATGTTTGTTGCACAATATGCATGGCCAGACCGGCTAGAAGACACTTATTAGACGCTCATAACCCTTGGATTCCCTTTCATCCCTAGAAAAGAAAATCCGTGTTCCCTTCTGTTGCTTTTTAAGTTGCTTCTGCTTCATCTATATATGTCCAGGATCCCTTCTTGTCTGTATATCCAATTTTAAGCATGGTTGGCGCTGCCGTGCCACCTACATAACGTGAGTTGAATTGATCTTTCTTTCTAGAGGTGAATTTGCTCTGAAATTTTGGTTTGCTCTTCAATCATCATAGTGGCCAATAAATCCAAGTTGCTATTATCCCCCCCCCCCCCACCAAAAATAATAATCCAAGTTGCTAATTGGAAGCCCACGTCAACATTTAGGCTGAGTTCGTTTTCTTCCTTTCACAGCCCACATGACCCCCGGTGACCTGTCTAAAAAAAATAAAAATAAAAATAAAAATAATAAAAAAACCCACATAACCACATCCCTCATTTTTCGCGCGTACGTTTTTAAAATTGTTAAACGACATGTTTCTTGTAAAAAATTTCTATACAAGTTGCTTTAGAAAATCATATTAATCTATTTTAAAAAATAAATTAGCTAATACTTAATTAATTATATGCTAATAAGTCGTTCCGTTTTACGTGTTTGATGTATTAGCTCCCAACAACAGAGAACGTTGCTTCTTAGCACACGGAAAATGGAACGGCTCATTAGCGCATTATTAATTAAGCATTAGCTATTTTTTAAAAAAAGAATCAATATGATTTTTAAAGCAACTTTCATATGAAAACTTTTTGCAAAAAAATATAACGTTTAGCAGTTTAAAAAACGTACGCTAAACATGAGGGATGTGAATTGGAAAAGTTGGAGAAAGAACTAAGCCAAGAATCACCTCGAGTGATTGTACTTGTTGACGGCGATATCCCGTAGTGCCTTGGCCAACTAACCACCACAACCACTACCACTCGCGGCCGGTCACGCACACACCACCTCAATCAAATTTGGAATTAAGATATTAAAATATGTTACTTTAAACAGAAAATTAAGTCATGAGGCAATATGCACAAAGTATAGAATCGCTAATTCTTACACAGTTTTTTTACAAGGGAACGGTGCTGTGAGCAAGTGAGCAACATGCCGACGTATATACCGCAAAAATCACTGTTCATTTCAACGGAAAATTGCAGTAACAGCAATGGGTCGAGTATGAAGAAATCAAACTATCAAAGAGCCTCTATATACCATTAATAAAAAGCCTCATGACACCAACAAAATGACAGTCGTCAGCCACATTTCTTTCTGGGGATTTCACACCTGCACTTTTGAAGTAGTACTTGCGAATCCACGTCCTTACGGGCCTTATAGTACCACGTCTTCTGAACAGAATATGAACAAACTGACGAATCTGAAGTCCCTGAACCCGATCGAGCTGACGAAAACACTAATCCTGTTTGTGGATATTCACATTACAATATCGGTGCTACTAGCTCTACCATATGGCTTCCTGTACCCTGTACGTACCTCTTATGTGTTATTTACGATGTTCGTATTTTTGTACATTTTCGTGTGTATAATCGTATATAGTATACATGCGAAAGCAATAAACCATCCAGGTGGTGCAAAAGACTGGCCGCGCACTGCCTTAATTTAGCTAGGATCGGAGGAGGAGGCGTTCGGCGGGGGTGAGCGAGTGGCGGAAGTGGCAACGGTGGCCGTAGGGGCAGACGTCGCCGGCGAGCACCATGCGGCACACCGCGGTCTTGTAGCGAGGGTGGCGGATGACGGGGCGGAGCTCGGTGACGCCGTGCGCGAACTGGCACTGGTCGCCGTAGGGGCAGTCTCCCGTCTCCTCCCACTTGTTGCACAGCTCCGTCTTGAACATGCCCTGGTTGTACACCTCCAGCTCCGCGCCGCTGTCCGCGGGTTGCGCCTTCTGCTCGTCGCCTTTCTTGCCGCCGTCGTACGCGCGCTGCTGCATGATTTGATAGTGGTGCGCAACAATGTCAAATGCCGATCAAACGGGCTGAGCCGTGGTGTTCGCGAGGCGAGAGCGGGGGACTCACCGAGTTCGGGGGGTTGGTTGGGTTCGACGACGTGCGGGGCTTGCGGTTGGGGGCCGCCGAAGTGGCGGTGGCGGCCTGGGATTGCTGGTTCAGCTTGAGGTAGCTTGTGGACCGCACGGAGATGCTCTTCGGCAGCACGGCGAGCTTCTCGGGCGTGCGCTCCTTGGTGGCGGCCGCGACCTTCTGCTCGCCGAGGCGGAGCCGACGGATCTCGTCGGCGACGGCGACGGCGGCGGTATGCTTCCCGCTGAGCAGCGCGAGACGGAGGGCGAGGTCGCTGTTGGTGACGCGGAGCTCGGCGTTCTCAAGACGGAGCGCCGCCGCCTCTTCGGCGGCCTCGGCGAGGTGGGAGAGGCAAAGCTCGTAGCGGTCGGCCACCTCCTGGTACTGCAGCGCGAGGCGCGCGAGCTGGAGCCGCTGCCCCGTGGCGTCGGCGGCCGCTCCTCCGTCGTCGCCGTCATCGACGAGGGAGGCGGAGGAGGACGGCGAGAGCGAGACGGAGGTGGCTAGCGGCGACGGCGAGGAGAACCCGAAGCTGGGGCTGAAGGGGGAGGAGCAGCGGTACAGGGCGTCGTCGCCGCTGGGGAGGTAGCGCGGCGAGGACGCGAGCCGCTGGTCTCCGAAGTTGAACGGCTTGAGCTCCAATGCCGAGCGCACCGGGGAGACAAGCGCTTCCTGCATTGCCGACGGACACCAATTGACTTCCGCCGCGAACAAACGGACGGAAAATGTCACAAACGTGAAAAATTTTCACACAACTTGGTACGAACAAGTGCACACGTGAAATTCCTAGCTGTTGTATCGATCGAGCTTGTAATGTTGGACCTGATCAAGTGGAGGAGTAATTCGATGCAATTACCTCTCGGGGCAGTGCCGATCGAAGCTAGAGACCAGCTGATTCGGGGGAGAGGACGACGGAGGAGGTTGGTGCGGGGATCGCGCGGGCTGAGTTATATAGCGGGGGAGCGTAAACTGTAGAAGGGGAGACCGTGGGGCCCGCGCGTCTGCGAGAGCGGGGCGGCAGGTGTAACAGGGAATTAGCCGCGCCCGTACCCGAAGTCCCCAACACGGCCGGGTTCGTTAGCGCTGCTGCAGCGTATAGTAGGGAATTCCGTGAGACCGTGGCTACCTCAACTGCCCATCAAATCTAACATTGTAAACATTTTTGTCTAGGGTTTAGACTGTTAAAATATTTTTTTCAAAAAAGGATATGCAAATATGAAATGTATAGATGATTGTGTCATGTATTCATACATATTCTCCTATCAAGAGAATAAAAAAAATCAATCATGGGGATGTATCTAGACAATGTGCATGTTCAAATACATCCTAGGATTAAACTTTTTTTTTGGATGGAGGGAGTAAATTTATAGTAATGTCAAATTCGATATGCACAAAGAAACAAAAACATTTATCACTAAATTTATTGTTTTTTCCTTCTTTTCAAATTTTTTTCATGTGTGAATTAAGCTTAATTTTTCATGTTGATAGAGGGATATACAACAAGCGATTTGTGCTTTTATATTTTTTGAATTTTTATAACTATGTAAACTGTATGTTCAACCTCAACCTCAAGCTTTGCTTATCTGGCATGGCGGAGAGCCGTTTGGTTTTTGCTAAAGCACATGCAATGCATGCTTAATTTGCAGAAACTACAGTTTAGATTTCAGAAAGATGTCCGGTGTATGTGTAGAAAGGCAGAGTAGTGTGTCTGTGTGTATGCGGCGCTCGTCTAGTATTGTCCTGTTGTGGAATTCGACGCGCGGAACATTTTCAGATCAGGATATTTGGTACCAATTCCCATCTGATTCTGGAAACGTTAATCCTGCCAAGATCACGTACGGGAAGTACGCTCTAACATTAATTCCTTCAACTATACTTCATCGATTCCCTTGATGCGGACCAACATGCCTACCTGGCTACTATTTTCGTCTCAAAATAATTGTATTTCCATGATTTAAACTTTGTCCCAAAATAATTGTAATTTTAGAGTACTAATTGCCCCATCAATCATCTCTCATTCAAATTTCTCTCTATTATACCCTCAACCATCTTTCCACTCTCACATAAACATCTTTTAATGAGGAGCACCATAGTCTTTTTTCTCAAACCTTAATATATGCTAAACAATATAGAATTGTAATTATTTTAGGGCGGAGGTAGTACTTTTGTGTCTCGTGTCGTCACGTCGACAAAGATGACAAGTCCACACCTCAGTTGACTCAGGAACGCTCTATCGTGGCAACTAATCGTACTCCTACAAGCGAAGTACTCGGTACAACGGTACAAAAGGCCCTCTTCCTTGTACAGTTATATGGAGTAATTAGCGGTTACACTGAGCTGGTAGATATGCGCCCATATTCTTTGCTTACAAAAAGCCATTATTCAGAAAGCCGTTCACAAAAGAAAAAAAAACAGAAAGCCATTAAACACGTTCATATATATGATTATATCCACGCAGGGAAGGTCCATGGACCAATTGCAGCTACGTCGGTGGTCACTAGTGGCACAAGACAGACAGATAAGTGACTATCAGATTAGTTATTACTACTTGCTTAACAACTAATGAACCATGGTGGGACCACCCTACACGAGGAGCCCCTGCACCGGACTGAGGTGAGGTGCGCCTGGCCTCTGTCACTGACCTGGAAGGGCTAGTCACCAGACTCGATCACCACAGCGCAAAGAGGATCGATCCGAGCTAGCGAAACTTAGCTTGCTTTGCTTTTACGGGTCAGTCCCTGTCCGCGAGCTCAGGTTGCTCAGCTAACAAACCCCGCGTCGATCGGATCGATCGATCGATCTGTATCCCAGCGGCGTCTTTTCCTTAGGAAAACCACACCACACCTCACCAGTCACACCACACACACAGCAACACCTGATAGATGCAATCATGTGTTGCTTCCTGCATACAGCTTTAACTAACTCGACCGGGAATTCGGAATATCGCCTCGCCTACCGCAGGCAGGAGCGTCGTATTGTGCGGCACGTCGGAATCATTCCTGGAGATTGGAGACCGGCAGGCGTGGCCGGGGGAGAGAGTTAGCTAGAGGAGAGGAAACGAGAAAAACGGGACCATCTATACATTTGTCGACAAATTTTCTACTAAAAAATTTGACAGATGTAATTATAGTACAATCGTAGTGTAATTACACTGTAACTTGCATGTAACTATAGTATAACTTGTACGTAAGTTTCACATAATTTTGAATCGTTAGATCTATTACAAGATTTGTTCTGGTAAGGAAGAAAAAAATCACAGCACACACATGTGAAAGGATTTGTTCCCACGACCTCTATTTTACTGAAATAACATGTTACCGAGAGATTCTTGAAAGTTACATACAAGTTACATTATAGTTACAGTGTAATTATATACAAGTTACAGTGTAATTACACTACGATTGTACTGTAATTACATCTGACAAATTTTTGGAGGAAAATTTGTCGACTATAGTAAATTCGAGAAAAACACTTAAGTATGTGGGTGCGTGCGCGAGATGCGTTTCTTTTCTTCCCGCTGCCGCGACGGCCAAACGAACCGGGTGGACTTTTAGGTGGGTGCTTTTCCCGTTTGGCGATGCCGGTAGGATGGATTTGTGCTCGCCGGTTGCCATCAGGGTTTGTTATGCACTGTGCGGTAGATGGCGACGGTTCGTGCGAATGAAGGCATGCACCACGACGCGACGGGGCTGATGTGCCGCTTGGACCAGAAATGGATGCTGATATGCGATCTCTGGATTCTGTTCCATTCGTCGTGGCAATCCAGTTCGCCCCTCCACCCACCCAAGATATAGATTTTACATTGATTTCTATTAACACATTTCTCAATCTAGTAAATGATGTATTACATGTGAAAAGATGCTTTTAAATATAAGATAAATCTATTTTTAAGTTTAAAATAATTAAAACTTAATTAATTATGTGCTCATGACATTCTTGTTTTACGTGTATCTACTTAATCTTCACCATTCGCAGGTTGGAACGGTTGCATGTACTTAAGATTAACAAGGACAATTCGCATGGAAGGATATAGCGTAAATTATGGCATGGCAAACCATAAATATAGATACAAAATCATATTAATTATGATGAGTATAATATAAAATTAGCAGGGTAACCCGCACAATTATGTGGCTAGCACAGCAACGAATTTATATTATTTTTTTTAAAAAAACTATCTTTTATAGGATTCCTTATTCTTATCTTGATCTTCGTCAAATTTGGTGAGCCCCTATGACACTTGCTATTCGTTAACCCTACCATGTTATCCACCAGTCCACCCCTTTCCGCTCGTCTGCGCGTCATTACAATCATCCTCTTCATCGTCATCACGACTATGAAAATGGGGTTCCTTTTGATAGATTTTAGAAGTCTCACCAATTGCCTCCCCTTCACTTATTTGGTTATGATCCCTTCTCTTTATTGTGGTAGATACCTTCAAAATTCAAACCTTATCATTGTTAGGTTCAAATATTTATAGTTCTTATGTCTCGCTAGTCACCGCCTTCCTACTCTTTTTGATGCTGCTCCTGCCACCCAGCTTCGTTCATGCCATCATCTTCTAGAAAAAATTGAACCACAACCATTAGGAGCTCTATATGTGTTGCAAAAGAATTTTTATATTAAAATATTTACAAAATGTTTTTTTTTCAAACTTTAACAAATCTATACCACCCCTCATGTTCTCTGCGAGGACTTTTTCAAAAACCCCATAGGGTTTTATTTTGAAAAAAAAAGCTTTTTTTTACGATGTGGTAGACGATCGTTGGTGTGTGCTATTAGACGATCATCGGGGGCTAAGCACTTTGTAGGCAAACCCGCCTGCAAAATGGCACCCCATCTTGGCAATCGACAGTTTTCCAAGGTGCCCCCTTTAAGCGCTCTAGGAGGCCTGCAAAATGGACAGTTTTCCATTGTATTCCTTTAGAAAGGCTGCAACTTGCAAGGGAGCAGCTTGTAAAATGGCCATGCCAACCTCTAGATGGCAGCACTTAGGCCCTGTTTCTTTCAGCCTGGGATTATTATAATCTAGATTATTAAGATTAAGCTGAAAGAAACATACAACTTATTAAAATAGCTTATTATAATCTGGAGCCCAGCTTATTATAATATGGTAAGCTCATTTATGTGAGCTTTTTCTAGATTATTGGGTGAAAAATTACCCACCATGCTACCCCACTCCCTCTTTAGACTTGCAAACCCAATAATCTAGGCTCTAAAAATCTAGGAAAGAAACAACTAACCGTATATTATACTACAGATTATAACAATCTAGCTTATAGTAATCTGACTCAATAATTTAGATTATAATAATTCTAAACTGAAAGAAATAGAGCCTTAGCTCATGTTAGCGGATGCTTGCCACGTTATAAAAAAACACCCTTCTAGAGAATATTTTTCTTTCGTAAAGAATGGACTCGTAGAGGACGGGAGAGGTATAAAGTTGTGAATGTTTGAAAAAAATATTTTTAATAAAAGAATGGTTCTGTTGCGAAGGGAGAACTACCCTGCATCTCACGGGCGAGTGTTAGGGTAGCAAATGGGAAGAAAAGAAAAATCACACATGTGCTCTAGCCAAAACAAAATTGGTGATTAAAAAGGAAACGAATACTTGGTCAAACCTTAACTGACAGAGAAATGTTGTTGCATTCACATGGGATGTAATGCACGCATATGTAATGCACGATCCCAAAGTGTGTAGATCCTGAAGGGGTTCACAAGATTCTCCCACGATCGGCACTTCTCCCACATTGCCTAAGATGGAAAGATGCACTTGCCATTGTAATGAGTAGTCGAACAGAGGTTGATAGGTGATAGGCAGTTGTAAGCTGAGGGGATCACATGTGTAAATGGATAATACGTATATTAGCGAAGGACAGCTATCACGGACTATACGATAGCCGTAGTTCGCCAATGGAACACTTGTCCGAGA